CCTCTGAAGAACTGTAGCCTGATCTTCATCTCACCTGACCATCTTTGATTGGCAGGGCAGTAAAGGCTCGGGTCTCATAGATCAAAGCATAGGGCAGCAAGAAGGCCAGGCCATAGCTTTAATGGATACTGCCAAGAAGGTTCATTCTCATCACCATTTCTTTCCATTTGAACCCTTCTGCACTGACAGAGTGAAGACAGAGGAGATTTCAAACCAGTTACTGAAAAAAAATCTCTTATGAAAGGCAGGAATTTCCCCCCCACTGGAGTGGCAGAGAGCACCCCATACTCCTAAACCAGCCCATTCTTCCCTTCACCTGAAATGATCCTAGTGAAAAAGCAGACACTGTGCTAGCAAAGGTTACAAGGCTGGTTCGTCCCTGTGATAGACAGAAGGAGGAACTGGTTGCACCACTGGAACATGCAAAATGACAGCAACCTAAAGCTGTATCCCAAAACAGAACATTGGGTATTTGGGGGCTATTAATCTGAAGAGAACCAAGAAATTTCCCTAGATGCCCCTGCAGGAAGTTTATAGGGTCTCAGGTAAAACAGAGTTACTGTATTTAGAATGGTGAGACAAACATGCTGTTGAGCTGTGGGCACAGAGTGGGCACCCACAGTCTGGCTGTACAAACACATCTACACCTTTTACTCAGTAGATGTGAGGTTTGGAAAACTTGGCTGTAAAAAGCACAAAGTCATACCCAAGCACGCCCTGCTATTACAAGCTCCATGAAGCATTTCAAATGGAAGAACTAGTTCTGATTTGCTTTTCACAAGTAGATTGCAGCAGGTTATAGAGATGGTCTGAGAGGCCTCTGTGTCAGGCATTAGCTACTGCCACACAGCACGGCTGGTTTGTGGATCTCTCCTGTAGCCAGCGTTAGAGCACTCAAGACCCACAGCTCTATAACTCAATATGGGACTCACACCTTTCCAAAGTTCCAGAGGGGTTGTATCCAAAGGTCCAGGTCAGGATCTATCTCTAGTCCCTCATCCCCTCCTTCACACCTGTACAATGGGGGAGCAGTACAACTGTATCTAAACCAACATAAAGAGGGGTCAGAACACACAAAAAAACCCCTGCAGCATACGCAAGAAAGCTTTTTCTGGACAAGTGTAATGTAGACATATTCTTTTTAAACACACTACATCCAGCTCCAGCAGGACAAGGGCTACCAGCCCCTTGCACCCACTGAGGGTGCTGAGAGACAAAAGTCCTGCCCTTGTCGCTCACAGCCAAGCACCGGACAGCAATTATGGACTGCTGTGCCAGCACAAAATAGTAAGTACACATACAGCCACAGCTGCTGGGCTGAGTTGTGTGCAAGGCAGCTCATCGTTCATGAAAGCTTTCTCTGTCTCTACAATGCAACAGCAGGGTCTGATTTTGTCTTTGCATGTGTACACTTGTTGAACTTACAGAGAATGTGAAAACAAGAAACACAGCAAAAGGTGACTTTCTGTAAGTGGAAAGCTCTATCCAGAAACCTGGAGAGAGATTCTCATGACAACAGATCATGACTGTTTGCTTGTGCTGTTGTATTCCCACTGCATCATCATATGATCCCACCCCGCTGCATCCCAGTTGTGTGGTCACGCTGTGACCAATAAAATAAGGCCTGTCAAGCCATTTCAGGTTCAGACTACCCTTATTATTCACCCCTGCGGATACTGTGCCTTTTAGATAGACGGGTGGTTTCACAGGAACTGCATGGGTTATCTTGCTATAGTGTAACCACAGTGCCAACCACAAAGAAAATATTTCCGCCCACATGAATATTTAATACAAGCATTTTCTTCATGTAGAAGGAAGGATAGCAGGGACCCCTGTGAGACTATCTTGAACCACACCAACTACAGTAGTACCACTTCACTACAGTAAGCATTGTTCATAGCTGATATCTCTCAGAGGCAAGACTTATCAATGTAAGCTTTATAACCTCATTCGGGGTGAGTTTGCTAAAGTCAGAAATTAAATATAAAGACTCCTATTAGTGTGACCTCTCCACATCTTGGGTCAAATACCAGTGAAAAAAAAAGCTCTCCCTATTCAGTCATAAATTATGTGCTTAATTATCCAAATGTCAAACTGTGCTTGCAAATAACTAGGAAGGTCAGATCAGAGTGAGAAAGACCTTTGAAAGCTGGTTTCAGCAGCCAGTCCTTTCCACAGCAGACGTGAGTACATCACAGTTAGAAATCACCAACATTTCTTGCAAGTTGCTTCTACAAGGGTCATGAGCAAGCAAAAGAACTGTTCTTCCTGCCCTTCCTGGAAACGTTAAGGAGCCTGGGATACCACCGTCTGTTCTATGAACTTGCAGGTAGACAGGATTTCATTTCCAGCAGTCTCCTGTGAGCATGTAACATACAGAGCAGGGGGTAATCAACTGGCTCTCATTGTGGAGAACTGTTCAGATTCCTCATGACTAACTACCTTTCACACTCAGGACAATTTCAAGGGGAATAAACCAAACAGGGTGTGGAACAGAGGATGGGTTAAGGCACTGAGTATTTTCTTTGAAGTATTAGTCACAGTAGGAAACTAATAAATCAATACTGGGTTGCAAAGGGCTCCACGCAGGGACCATGGGACAAATTATCATGGCTGCAAGAAGAGACATACTGAATGACATTCAGTAATGTTTCAAGGGAGGAAGAATTAGAGTTCAAGGGAGACTCACCCTGAATTTTACTCTTCATCGGGTTTTTTTTAATTGACTGTAAACAGCCCAGGTCCATCTTTGCAGACTCAAAAGAATGCTGCAGACTTCAGCATGATTTGGATGGAGGCCAGGGTGCTTAAAGAACACATGAAACTTCAACAGACAAACACACACATTCCCTGACTTCTCATATTGGCATGATGTACCTGGAAGCAGCTCAGATGGAAACCACTGGCAAGATGCATTGGCCTTGGCAGCAGGCAGACAGCCATGGTCACCACCTAAGCCTGGGGAATCAGGACTGCTCCATACACAGGCACCCAGCACAGCTGAACCAAGGAGCATCTGGGCAAACAGTGGGGCAGAGATCAGGTGCACTGTCTGGCAGGGCTGCCAAAAAAGCCCCAGATCTTCCACACATAGACTGCACATTTGTTTTGCCAGGTATGGCAGACCTGAGCAAACACTATGAAGGCCATCAGGTAGTAAGAGGAAGGCTACAATATAAAGCTTCCCAATCCTGATCTCACTGGAAGATGCCAGCTTCCTTGACCTGGGTAAAATCAAGCCAACAGGTTTTGCAGCAAACTGCGCTGCTTCTCCAGAAAACACAGAGGCAATTGCTTTTCCACACTGTTCTTACTCTCTTTTCCCATCTCAGGGAGGCAGCACTCCTGGTTGTTATTCTATCTGCATGAGTTTCTTCTGCTCTCTAGCAAAGTAGGTCACTGCATAATGTTCTCTACATCTCAAATCATCTGCTAATTTTCTGTATAACTCTCCTGTTCTCTCCAGGCTGTTTTTTGCCCCACTGAACTCAAACCCCACCCTTTTTGAAAGCAAGAGTAGCAGCAGGCCCCAGATGTGCCAGCCCTTCAGCATTCATAAAGTAACCCTTGAGCTCTGCATGCCACCACACAGAGATGCAGAGGTTGCTTCTTCAGAGCAGAATTGGCACCCTGAACAGGACTGTGTCTGCGCCACTTCTCCTCCAGCTCGACTTATCGCCACACAGAAAGAGCAAATGAGGTCTCAGTGAACCCAAATCAAAACATCCCATTTCCCAGGTGCTTTAAGGCACCATATGATTGACTGAAGGGATTTCATTGTGGCTGAAAGGAAGAATAATATCCCTTCACCGAGGAAAAGGCACTACCTTCAATCATTTCATGTGTAAATAGTTGCTGCCTGGGCTTTCACTAAAGCTCCAAGCTCATTAGTGCTTAAATGCTAACTCATGAGAAAAGCCCAGAACACAGAAACATGGCAAGGAGACATCACAGCTTTAATCCTTCATTGGATTAGACTATTTAAATTTGATGAGACAGAAGGAAAAATAAAGGATGCACATGAAAAGACACCTGGTTATATCACCTCAGCAGTTCCGTAAGTGTCTTCTCTTGTACTATTTTCTTCCCTTTATTTTTTTAACATTTCTAGGGATCTCAAGTGAGTTCAAATGTCCTTTACTCTCACACACAAGAGGAGCTGCAAATATGTCACAAGAGTTACACCTTTGAAGAGCCAGGCACAAAAATCGGATTCTGCCGTAGCATTAAACATAAATTACCCAGCACAAACCCTGAGCTTTCACCTAGAGCTGGCACCTTGCTTTTCTTGTCTCCAAACCTGCAGGCACTGCTTGGATATGTTTTGTGAACCCCTATCATCCATTCCCCAGGAATATTAAAAAAAAAAAAAAACCTGACACAAAGGTTCATTTAACAATTGAACAGAGAGAAGGAACTGGGTGAGAACTGCTGGCGTCAGATATGGGCAAATGAGAAGCCAAAAGGGAAGTATTGTGCTTTGAGTGGCTGGGAGTGGTCAAAGAAAGTTGTGCAAGACTAGAAAGCAGGAAGAAACATGTGGTCTCTACATGACAATGTATTGGGAGAGGAAACAGATGATCGCCAAAGACACAAACATTTGTCAAACAGAACAACTTGAACTCCTCCTGAATTTTTTTTTAATATATAACTTTTAATTTCCTCTCCCCACCATGAGTTGCTTTACTAGATCACTCAGTCCAAAACCAGACCCAAGTGCTTACACCTCACATTTATGTATGTGAACCTTTTCTCATAGATGTTGGGCATACGACTTTCCCTAAAGATAGGCAGTAGATATTCACTATTTGTAACCATTGCTTTTCCAATTAAACTGAATGTAAATGTTCATCTCTGAAAATTTAACCTAGAGGCTTTCATTCCACTCCCCACCAATAAAATGCATGCAGGGAAGAGGTTCTTCAGGGATGAGTACAACAGTGAGCTAAAAATTAGCAGGATTTATAACATCCTTCTTCTCTTTTTAATTAGGGAAAAATTAGAAGAAAGACACTGGAAGCAAAATCAATTTGCTGCTCTTGATCTGGCTTTTTGTTTAGTGACAATTTGACTCCTAGGACCAAATTATCTCTGGGGAAATAATTTCTCTTATTTGAAGGCAATTTCTCCAATAGACAGGATGCTTACTTTGCTTTCTTTCTTGTGTCTGTGTGCTTCCCTCCTTTTTTCTCTGAAATATCTTTAATTTCAGGGTGTTTCTCCATTGGCCCTTCAAACAAGATCTTCAAACTGAGGAGCATTTCCTCTATACAACTAAGTTTCTCTTCATACCTATAATTTTGAAGCAAATTAGAAATTACTTTATCAGCAAAACACCAGGGAAAAAGCATTTTAGATTATACAGCATTCCAATTAGAAGAGCGAGCAAGGGAGACACAGTGACTGATTTGAAGTCTATGTGACAGAAGAAGAATGACCTTTCATCAGACCCATAATTCATTATTATAGTTCCCCCCTCCCATCTGGAAGCCAGTCATATTCCTACAGATCTTGTACATCAGCACAACTATTTAAGTATTCTTAATCCAAATGATGATCGAAAAATCATCATTTATTTCTGGGTTTTTTCCTTTACCCTACAAGAGTTTAAACTTCATCTGAAGATTATGTCAAAATAAATTTTGAGGATTGTGGGTTTAGTTGAATCCAATCTGTTTGGAATTTATGTTCTCTTCTTGTTTTGTTTTCAGCCCTGGTACTCCTCTATAAGATTTGACACTGGGAACTAACTAACCAGGAAACAATTTTTGGGGTGTTTTTTTTTGGGTTTTTTGATTTTTTTATTTTTTTTTTCCACGGGGGGTGGGCGTTGAGGATCTTAAAAGTCATGTAAGAAAGATGAAATGACCATCAAAAGTTCCCAAGGGGAAGACTGTAAATAGATCTTAATGCATCAGCTTTTTCCCACACATTCAAAACCCACATGAAAATGGGAACCCACGCAGTAAAAGCCCTTATGAGCCTGTGCACCACTTAAAAATTTAAACAGTCCTCTAATGGAAAAAGATAACCTATTAAAGACAAGAGCGCCCATTTAACAATGTAATATTCACACTGCTCTGACTGTTGCCCCTCTCTGTTTTCCTATTAAAGTCCTTTCTGCTTTTTTTTTTTTGTGTAGCAACAACTGGGAAGCCTAACAAAGGTGTTGTTTCCCAGGAGATACCTCAGTTTCCTTGCTTGCTGTACTGAGGGAACTGGGAGACACACAGATGTGACTGCTAGGCCACAGGGATGGAGTGTTGACAGCCTGGCAAAAGTAACAGGAGCTGATCCACTGGCACTGCATTTCATAACTCTTCGATCCTTTGTAATTTGCACACACTAATCCAACCTTCCACTTCCAGTGTGGGCAGCTCTCTTCTTCAAATTTTTTTCTGATTGGCATCACCTCAACGTTAACCATGGACCAACCATTATAAAGAAACTTCTGGAAGGGCAAAATCCACACCTCTTTTTACCCCGAGGTAAATTCAGGGTAAATATCCTGAGGTATTTCCTGAAGGAATACAATCCACAGCAAGGGAATACACTGCTGCTAGAGAGTAGCTGCGGTAAGCGCAGCCCTCATTCTGGTGAAATGTGGCTTGAGAGACAGTGGGAACACTCATCCCAGATAAACATTAGGGAGAGGATTTCCATGTAAGCACATCCACCTTTTGTTCTGGAGGCAGGCTGAGAGGTCACATATGGTGAGTTATTGTGGCTCAAGTGATGAGTGACTCTTTTCTCCCAGGATAGAGACAAAGTTGTTTTAGTAAAAAGGTTTATGAGCTGCAGACTCAGCATGAGACAGCACAGCCAAAAGCAAGAGCAGGAGTAGGGAGAACAAGAAGGAGGAGGATCTCACCCACTAAATAGATATAAGTTGTTTGTAAACTTGGACAAGACATGGAACTTCACCTTTGGCATCACATAGATGTTTTCTCCCATCACTACAAAGGCATCCAAGCAGAGTGGTGACGAAGGAAGGGTAAAAATTCTTTGGAGTACTCTGTCAGAAAAAGAGAAATGTGTATGAATAGAGTTGTCTAAACATTTTTGTGGAAGAAAATTGCAGGGTGACTACTTCAGTAAAGAGGATATTTTAATCCCTTTTTTTTTTTTTTTGTCTTTTTTAAAAAATCTGTTTACCATTAATCACAAACAAACATTTGGCACAAAGTATTGCCTTCTTAATGATTCAGTGCCTTGATTCTACCAGTGATAGGAAGTACTAAAATTCAGTGTTTACAGTCTGGCTAACAAGTTGTCAAAGAGTAGCTAGGAAAACTCCTAACCTTTCTAGGGGGGAATAGAAAAGAAAAACTGAAGGGGAGAGGGAAAAGGAAGAGAAAGGAATACATCATTATACAGCATGAAAATAGATCAAAAACCTCATTCTTTTTTTAGTTCTTTGCAGGTTCCATTTCAAATAAAAGATGAGACTTTTAAAAAGCCTGAAAGAGCACAGCTTTGCACTTCTCATAAAGACTTCTAAAATACATTAACTTCTATGTGCCCCACAGCCTTTTCCTATGGGGGAGACATGAAATGGCTGTTGTGTCAATAAACACTGCTCTCATAGGCAAAAATCTCCCCTTGTAACCAGGCACAGCTGGTTGTTTGCCCAGGAGCAGTGCCCCAGGCCTCCTCTTACCAGTGCCACTGGAGAGGCATTGACAACAAACAGCTGCTACCACCACACCAGTGAAGTCCTCAGCCCTCCAGTCTGGGAAACAGGCCTGTGAGGGTAAAAATTGCATCATCCAACAGTATATGGCTCCCCATACTCAGCAATAAAAATCATCACAATAGCAGGTCAGAAACAGAGATGGGTAACCAAAAACCCTACACAGAAATTGCATTGTATGATTTCCTTCTCTCGAGGACCAAAGACAAGCTATGCACTCAAAGTGCCCACGGTGGCCTGCAGGTATTTATTATTTACAGCAGTCTCAGGAGGTCCACACTAAAAGCAGCCTGGGGAAGCAGGCTATGTTTTATCCACCACATGACCCACTTTCCAGCAGCTCTGTCAAGCACTTCTGTCACCAGCGACAGGGCTGACTAATGTTCAGTGAAGTAGGTGATGAGTTACGTGGAACTAGCTTCCAGAGGAAATTAATTTCCACTGAGAGGCTCTGGCTACTTGAACTTTGTTTCAAAAAGGCTATGCTTTATTGCAGTCTGAGTTAATGAAGAAGGGTAGCTGTCAGGCTGCTGCACTGTCGGTGTTATCTCCCAGCCACCTTTCTTGCAGCAGAAGCAGTGGAACGTGAACAACCACTGAAATGAGCTTCCATTTGCCCTCATTTTAATGTTTCCCTTCCTACTGCCACATCCACTGCTCTACTATTACCATGGGAAATAATCAAACCTACTTTTAATACAATGCTGTGCATATGGCGTCTCTGCCAAGACCATTCTCGAGCAGAGAAACAGATTGCAAAAAGTACCACATGCTCAGCCTTCTGCCTGGGAGCTTAGGTAGGAGATAACATCTATGTAATGCTCAGCACTCCTTAGGAGCACACAATCTCAAGAAAACCTTCTTTTTTCCTGCTTTTATTCTGACAGACCTACTACAGTGAATTTCCCTCCAGGGTTTCCATGTCTCTGCTCCATGCTTAACCTAGTCTTTTCGTGCTGGAAGATTTTGGAGGCCCTCAGCTGAAACCTTAGTCCAGAGGGCAAGATAAAGATACTATTAAGTACATCAATCTGAAGAATGTGTTCTCCATATTACATCAATACTACAAAATGTATCCTAAAATTTAGGATAAATTGCTTTGTGTACACCTGTGTACCTCAAACCCTGCATTCACGCCCAGGTAGGTTACTGCTTCTAATAGCAATTACCTCAAACATCTCAGTTACAACATCTATTGGCTCTCAACATGTTCAAAAGTATGACTTTCTACATTTCAGTCATGTGGGTTAATGTGGGGAAAATGCAAAAAGACTCTTTCACTGTGCAGTGGCTGTTATTCCACACGGTTAATCTTGGCACAGAAAATCAGGCACACACAGCTCTGCTCGGGATCCTTTGCATGAATATTGCTGGAAAACACTCTTTGGTGTGATCAGATCCTTCACAGTAGTTCTTCACCAAATGAGTTAAAAAACAGCACAAGAGTTAAAGCAGGTTTCACATGATGGCATTTTCTTGGGGTATTTTAAGTTGTTGTTTTTTTAAATGGAAAAAAATATTAAAGACTTGAGGAACTTGAAGGTGCTTTAGTTTACATTAGTTTACATTTAGTTTACATCTCTTTGAGGTGCCATGTGTTTGAAAAGAATCAGGTAAAAGCACATACAAACTATAAAAATAATTTTGAAAACTAATACTCAAAAATACCAGAAACTGAGACATGTTTAGGCATATGCCTAGTCACAGGCCAGAATAAAAGGACAAAAATCTCCCACCTGCCTTTTTGCTGGTCTAGGAAATGTGGATACAAGACTAACCACTTCTCAGTCTTTATCTGCCTTTACCTTCCTCTTTCATGGTGTTTTACATGTTTGGCTAGATACCATGAAGATGTCCCATTTACTTCATTATCTGAAAAGCTTCTCAATAGTGCAATGGCAGGGGTTTCTACAGTAAAACCCAAATGTGCAGCTGCTTTCCTTAACATTTCAAAATCCTCCTATCAGTCTTAAACTCAGGCATGTCTGGTCCATTGAAGCACATACCCAGCCTTCTCACCAGTATTCCCTAGCTCTTAGCATTCAAAATTGATCAGACTGCAGACAGTAGAAATAAAGCAGGTTTTTCAAATAATTATAAATTCTAAGAATTAATTCTATTAATTTGTCTTCAGATTTTCTTATGTTGATCATTTTTGCTTCTCAAACTTTTCTATGTGATCACCAACATCATTACCTTACTTTTTAAAATAAGACACATGAAGGTCACATGAAATAATATGATTCTAGAAGTCCATACTATATAATCAAAATAAATTTTTCATTTGTTAGCTTCACAAACTTTGTACACAATCTAGGGCAAAGAGTCTGGACTAGGCAAAGGCAGTCCTTGTTTATTGGAGGGACAAGAGGTAGCAGTGGGGTGAGAGATTGCTGCCCTCAGAAGCAGAGAAACCAGCAGGTATAAGAGTGGAACTGTGACTTCACATTAGCAACCCATGGAGGTGCAGGGCATGAGCGGCACCTTTTGCAGCAGTGGCATGAGGTAAATAAACAATACACATGGTCCCTAAATTTCAATTGCAATGAAATTAAAAGCAAGAACCAGTTGCCTCCAAGTGAGGAACAAAAATTTGATTGTCCTCTTTGAGTCTAAATGGAACTGTGCACACTGACCTAAGCCTTGATGTCTTACAAAACACAGCAGATGCACACATAGTAAAACTCTACGACACAAAACTAACTTCAGACCTGGGGAAACCTCAGGGTAGTATTCTTCCAAGAATATATTTATGCCAAGTCATTTATTCCTGGTCTAAACTATTTTGGCTGCTAGAAAGCCAAAGGGCAGGGGAGAGCAAAACTTGTTTTATAAAACCAAGAGAAGTTTTCCTTTTCCTCTCCACTTCTAACTAGAAACATTTGACCAGTGCTCCTCAAAACAGGCTGTATTTGCTTCCAAGAAAAAAAAAAAATCAAGTTAGATTTTCATTGGCAGCATAAATTATCTCAGAAAACTATGTGAATGACAAAAACAAATTAAAAATGAGAAAAGACACAGAGGGCTAGAATAAAAATGCTTATGTGCTTCAGCCTTCAAAGTTTTTGCTTTCTTTCTGTGGGTACATCTCAATTTTCTCAGCATTCCACTGCAATTGCCATGAAGATGGGATCTGTTCTGTGAGAGAATGATGTCATGGTAAAAAAAGATTCCTAAGAATTTTATATCCAATGGGACAAGAGATGCTATTCTCCAGGTATAACGGGCACCAAGCTGTACTCCTGCTGCCTGCCTTGCTCATCTACGGAACAATGGTGGCAAGACAGCTCCAAAAAAACCCATGTGATTCCAGCTGGGCACTGTAACCAGATGGGATGCTACAACAAAACAGCAGCCCAGAGTAGAGGAGGAAATGAAAACCATACTGTTACCCTGGGCAGATCAGGGGGCCTTTTGTGACAGAAGGAGGTAGAAGCCCTCTGCGTGCAGGCATGTGCATAGCTATCAGAAGTGAATATGTCCGAAAAATGAATCCCCTGTCATAATGAAACAAAGCAGAAGTTCTCTTGTGTGTCTGTGTGCTTATTTCCATAATCTTAACCACATTCCTGTGCTGTGCATCAGCTCTGGTCTGCACAGTGGGGGCAGGTCACACAAATAAAATCCCTGACATTTTGCAGCTCCTTTTAAAAGTCTGCATCCATGCAGGGATCGTGACAGCTGCTGGACCGACAACCCCGAAGCAGCACGCTGCTGCAGGTTGGAGCAGCTGTGACACAGTGGGCAGTGCTGTGTGTCCCCTCTGCGACAGCCTGATGCAAAGGGACCACAGCAGGGGGGAGTCAGACTTAGAGCCAGTGCTTCAGCTTCTTTGCTGAAAGATGCCAAGTTTACAGTCATCAATTAATTTTATTCAGGGTCTCTCACCTGGGGAGGGGCAGGAGTCATCACCTCATGTCACCAGCTGGTGAGCAGGCACTGCAAATTTGTACCAACAGTCAAGAAGTGCAAAGGCAGATTCTGCTTTCCACTGCATGAGTAAAGGACATCTCTGATTTGCAAAGCAGCCTCTGCCTGTCCCTCCAATTCAAGTAGTTTGGAGGCTTTTTTCCCAAGGAGACAAATGTTTCATTTGCATTTCCCTTTCCCACGTCAGGTACTAGGAACAAATCGCTGATGGCAATCACACAGACTGTACATCACACAGCACTTCTGAAATCTCCTTTTGTGTGTTTCACAATAAAAATATTATGAAAATCCTCAGTGGCACAGGTCATCCTCCAAGTCACAGTATTTGCTAAGTGAAGAGAAACAGGCAAGGCCTAAGGTTGTGTCATCTGACTGCATGTTGGAAGCTTCCTCTGCATAGTACTTGGTAACACTCGAGTTCTTTTACAAAGTATTGAAACTGCAGCTTAAGTGAAACACATCTGCTAGCAAAGATATAAGCCATTTTTGAAAACTATATATTACTGATCTAGAATATACCACCACTGTACCCCTCCCCTTCTTTGAAAGGTGGACCCCTCTGCACCCAAATGCCTGGAGGACCCCAGCACTGCCACAGGTCTCACCCAAGGTGCTGCCTGCCCCTCTGAAAGCAGACAACAGTCACACTTTTCTCTCCCTCACAGAGGACAGGTCATATGCTGGGCAGAAGAGCTACATTCCAATGATTTGAATTCCCTGGAAGCCCAGAAGTAGCTTCTTGCCCAACTGGGGACTGGAGAGCATTAACAATAGACACAGACTGTCTTTTTCTTATTTTATATAAATGCACAGGTTTGAATCTTGCCATCTTTTCATTTGCTTTCAACTCAAAAATTATCCCACTACTTTGAAAGCTAACGGAGAAACACTGAAAGAGTGCAAATATCATACAAACCCTAACATCACTTGTGAGCAGCCAGTCGGAAAGAAATACGAATAAAAGAGATCTGGGCCTGGGAATCTGTGTCTTAGCAAGCTGTTTCCCAAAGGGCTCTTTGTATGCAAGTTTGAAAGGATGGGGCTGAAAATCAGTGTAGGCAAAGGAATCTTTTTGTCAGAATAGTCCTTCAGTTGTGGAGGACTAGGGATACACTTGTGTGA